TTTCCTCAGCATCACACTGATCTTTTTTTTCAATCAATCCTTTTTTTGTGATTCATCCTTTTCTCATAATCAATATGTTCTTTCTAATTGCTCACCAATCTTTTCCTTCTAAAAAATCATTCAGCTTTTCTTTCTAATGTGTGATCAATTTTTTCTTTCTAATGTATAATTGATTTTTTCTTTCTAATGTATAATCGATTTTTTCTTTCTAATGTATATAATCAATTTTTTTCTTTTTAATCAAACATTCATTTCTTTCTATGTAATCGGTGATAATTGATAAGACCAAGTTCTGAAGTTTGTACTTGTTGGATGTGCTGACCTGACAAAGTTGTATCGCTGGTACGATGCTGATCTCAACTACAGTGGCCTGACAAAGTCGTATCACTGATACAATGCTGATCTCGTAGTTGAGATCAGTGATGATGTTGTAACTGACAATGAGTACAAGTTCAAGTAGTTGTTTGTTTGACCCATCGGATGGTTGAGCTGGATATCTCAAAGGCATAGGATCTATCATCTGTATGTAGAGTTGTGTATGATGTGATTGCTGTGGAGACAGAAGTGGCACTGTGTTTTTGCAAACAGGGGTGGGGCCGTTTCCTCAAACGGCAGCAAATGTGAAAAAACACTTAATTGGGTTGTCATAAAATCTGACCCCTGTGGTACGCGTTTGTGGTCAAAAACGTTTACTGCCAAAAAAATTGGAAATTGGCAGTCCACGGGCGGCTATGGTACGCGCCCTAAACTGGAATTTGTACTGCAGGTGGGTTTTCTGGGCAGATTGGCCTAAAAAATCACACTTTTTTTGCCTCCCAGAGGGGTGAGTTTTTGGGTTTTTCTTCCTCAACATTTTGGACACTGTAAAATCCGTTACAGTATATGGTGTCCCCCACTGTAGGCATGCCCACATAGGGTTCTGATCCGGACCCCGCAGATCCAGCAAGATCCAGAAAACCCGCAAACCGGATCAGGGCTCGGGATTGACCCAGAGAGATCCGGCATCTGGTTGGATGCTGAAAACCCCCAGAAGTCGGGATTTTTGGGGATTACCCACATCATCGGGGGCCTAGCTGCTGCACCTCAGCTCCAACTTTCCCCCCCTGAACCCCCTTTTTTCACAGCAGAATAGCAAAAAAAGCATAAAAAAATTATCCTAGAGATCCGGAGAGGCCCGGCTAGGTGCCGGATATCCGCGGGGTCAGGGTGCAGGATGCAGAGAATCCGGCTCCGAGGCACCGGGTCGGAACCCTATGCCCACAGGTGCATTGCGTGGGTATGGGGTCTAGGCATGCCCACAGGTGTTCATTCGGCTGAGAAAAGAATCCGACGCTTGTATACATCTCAACAAGCACCGGGTGCCATCCTGTAAAGAATTTTCAGGGTCGCAGGTGCTTTTCTAAGCAACGGAGTGACAGGGTGCAGGGAGGATATTCGAATCCTGATGATGGTGAAATGAGAAAATAAGACTTTTAATTTTTCTTTTATAAGTGTATAGAGAATGAAAACAAAATAAATCCCATAAGGGGAAAAGAGCGAGTTCGGAAAGTGAAGGACTACTTAAGCTAAAATTGATTTGACACGCGTCGGGATCTCAACATTCCCTGACGCGCCTAACTACATAGTATGTGTAACTAGAGATAGAATTTACATTTGTGTATATTTGCAAAATAGAATTTAAAAGTTTTTTTTTTTTAAAACTTGAAACTAGAATTTGAAGAAACAGAATACATAGAGAATTTTTTGAAAATGAAAGTTTTTATTTTTTTATTTTTTTTTATTTTTTTTTTGTTTCTTCCTGAGTTCGTTGATTGTTGACAAAATGCCCGGCCATGTACCTAAAGCAAAGTCCGAATAGATTTATCAGCAGGCAATCTGATTGATTTTGAACCAAATTTTTCATGAAATTGTTCAATGTAAGGATGCATAGACTCTTCAAACATCCCTCCTTTGACCCAAGAGTCATCAGCTACTGAACCACCACGCCATTGCACTAGATATTCGTGTGATTTGCGTGTACGCGTGGGTGCCCGGTAACCTATCAAAGCTTCCACATCTCTTTCATCCCAAAAGTCAGGACTGGTCGTTGTCGGCCCCCTGGGGGCATTGGGGCCAATGCAATTGGGGAATCCTTGGGGGTCAACAAAAGGGAGTAAAAGCGACGTGTGGAACACAGGATGCGTCCTGGAGAGATCTTCGGGGAGAATCAGACGATATATGTCCTTTCCCAAAACCTGATCTATACAGAAAGGGCCCAATCTCTTGAAATCCAGCTTCCCCGAGGGACGAGTAGAAGCAATATTTCTGCGCAAAAGCCAAACCCAATCTCCAGCCGCGTACTCAGAAGCATCTCTGGCCCGTTGATCAAAGTAAGTCCGTTGGACCTCCTTCGCTCTCAACAGGTTGTCTTGCAAAGTTTCCTGTACTGCTGTCAGATCCGTGAGGAGACGTTCCGCAGCCGGTACTGCAGACCCATTGCTAAGAGTATTGACCCGAGGATGGAATGCATATTGGGAGAAAAAAGGGGAGAAGCCTGTAGAAGCGGAGACAGAATTATTAAAAACGAGCTCAGCTATAGGGAGAAGATCCACCCAATCCTCCTGACGGTCAGACACAAAATGCCGCAAAAAAGTTTCGACCGTTTGGTTTGCGCGTTCTGTCTGACCATCTGTCCAGGGATGATACGCTGTGGACGGGGCGGGCTGAATTCGGAGGAGGTGTTGCACTTCTTTCCAGAATTTTGAGACAAATAAGGAACCTCTGTCAGAAACTATCTTGTCCGGCAATCCATGAAGACGAAAAATCCAATCAAAAAAAGACGCAGCAAATTCTTCCGCGGTCCAAGTTTCATTTGCCGGAATCAGATGTATGCCTTTTGAAAAATGATCCACCACGACCAGTATCGAATCATAGCCCGACGACAATGGAAGCTTCACTACAAAATCTAAACCTATGACACTCCATGGTCTTCGAGGAACAGACAGAGAGGTCATAAGCCCTGGGGGACGCTGATTTGAATGTTTCGATCGTTGACAAGAGAAACATGACTTAGTATAGTTTATGACATCCCGGCGGATCCCCGGCCAAAACATCGTCCTACTAATGAGGTCCAATGTCTTGAGTGAACCCAAATGACCTGCCGTAGGCTCATCATGAAAGTCCTTGAGGATGCGTGGTCGGAGTGAATGGGGCACGAAGATTTGATCCTTGAACCACCAAAGATTGTCTCGAAATTCCAGATCATCATCTTCCTCCGGATCCGGCGGTTCCTTTTGGTACGCTTCCTGCAACAGATCCTTCAACTCAGGCAAAGGAAGGCAAAAGGAATAGTCCTTTAATGTCTTATCAGCCACTGACTCCGTGTCTTCTCCTTCTTCAATATCACAGACAGAAACTACTTCTCCAATATCCATACGACTATCCCAAACTTCCAGCGAAGATCCTTCCACTCTTGCCCCTCCTTCTGTGTGGGTGAGCAAGGTGCGGAGACAGTTTTCGTCCCCATTGGTGGGTAAAAAATCTGGGCGTCGGGTAGGGGGATCCGCCGGATTGCGCTTTCCCGGTACATGTCGAATCACTAGATTGAAGGACGAAAGAAACACTGCCCATCTTGTTTGGCGGTCAGACAAATTTTGATTTGTAAAAAAATACTTTAAGTTAGCATGATCCGACATCACAACAACTGGCTCCCGTGTATCCATCAGCCAAGCTCTCCACTCTATAAAGGCTTGGACAATGGCCCCAAGTTCCTGATCATGGAATTGCCAAGAGATCTCGCCGTCATTCCATTTCTTAGACAGAAAAGAAACTGGTCGGAGTTGGCCTGTCCTATCCTTCTGGGATAACACTGCAGACAAAGCATATTTTGAACTGTCAACATGTAGTATCCATTCTTTGGTGAAATCAAAATGTTGGAGGAGAGGGGCAGAAGTAAAACACTTCTTCAATTCATCAAAAGACTCCCGAGACTTAGCTGATTGTAGGCCTAAAACAGTGTCCTCGCTTTCTTTCGTCAGAGAGGTTAGAGGAGCCGCTATCCGGGAAAACCCAGCAATGAATTTCCTGTAAAAATTTATGTAACCCAAAAATTTGTTCAGCTCCTTTAGATTCCTTGGGTAAGGCCAATCTGTCACCGTTTTCAACTTGTCTTCCTCCATCTTGAGACCATCAGATGTAATGACAAAACCTAGAAAAGTCACTTTGTCAGCATAAAAGGAACACTTTTCAGGAGAGGCAAACAAAGAGTGTTCCTGCAATTTCGACAAAACCTGGGAGACATGGCGATGATGTTCCTCTCGCGTCTTTGAGAAAATCAAAATGTCATCTATGTAAACAAAACAAGATACGCTCAGCATTTCCCTGAGAACAAATTGGATAAAACGTTGAAAACAGGCAGGAGCATTGGCAAGCCCAAAAGGCATTACCAAGTACTCATATAACCCCCACGGTGTGCGGAATGCAGTCTTCCACTCGTGGCCCTTAGCTACCCTCACAAATAAATGCAGCTTTAACGTCAATTTTTGTAAAAATTTACACTTGCACTGATCAAAAGATGTCCACATGGGATCGGTAGCTATCACGGACCGTCA